GAAATATATGTTTGCATGATTCTATGCTTCCCAGAGAAGCTCATTTAGTTAGAAAATAAGGCAAGTTTTGAAGCCTGCTAATAAGCTGAGTGAAGAGACCTAATCAGAAAATGTAGGTAGATTTCCTCATCTTTTATTCCTCAGTAGGAAGGACTGTTAATTCCATGATGAAAAGTTAAAATATGGGCTAAAGATACAACTAGCACGTTAAGCGCCCGGCCTGTTTTGTCTTCCGGGCAGAAAGTATAGTGTCAGTCACCGGTGACTGACATGGCGCTTAACGTTCTTGCCCACTCTGTGTTTGCATTCCCTTTTATTTCCAAAATAAAATGAAAAATTATTTTTTAAAATAACTTCATCTCCATTTATAACTTTTATATTTGTCCTTCTTTTCCAAGATAAGGTTGTCATTAGGAATTGGATTATTCCAAGGCCTTTTTCACAAACTGAGCCTCTTTTCGATGATTTCAATGGGACAGGAACCAGGATAGGTACGATTCCTGCACTTTGTACATTAATCTGCCTTTGCTCTAAAGGTGGGTCATCTTTAATATTTGCTTAAAATAACAACTGCTAGTGATTCCAGTTCCAAGGTACTTGAAAAAATATTCTGTATACATTTATACATTAACAAATCAGCCTGCCTACCAAGTGGCTGCTGGAATATGTGAGACGTGAAGAGGACTTTAAAGCCAACTTCATTGCCTTATCTTGAAAAGAACCTTGGTAGCTGCTTTCATCTGGGGGTGTTAATATTTTTCGAGTGACACAGCTAAACTGAATAATAGTGTCAAGATTGCAAAATTGACAGATATATTTGGTTTAAGCAGGAACTCTAAAAGTAAATGAATAGAGTAAGAATAGGTCATTTTCCATTCAACTTCTTTTTGGATATAGGGAAAGGAAAAGAACACTAGCTATGGAAGGGAAGAGGACATGATGTCGTAAAGTAACAGCCTGTAATTTTATATTTTATCTTTTATTTTGCTATATAGGGAATTGTTTACTCAGAAACAAATAGAAGAGTGGTACAATAAAATGGACTGTTGTATAATCAAAGTGTTCATGTTACCAAAGCATTATCTCCCTGAGATATAATTTGAAGTCTGTGGCACACACCTGGAGCCTTTACTTATTAAGACAGTAATAGGTGCACGTCTTGGTGGGTGGCCATGTTTGCAGAATGCTGAACACTATTTGCAAGTTGTACTGTATGCAGTTTTGCAAAGTGGAAATAATTTGTTGTACTTTTTATTCAATTCTGTATAGCTTATAAAATTATTTTTATTAAATAAATATTTTACAGTATATTTCCCTTTTTAAATCAAAATCATTTAAAATTTATCTTTTGCTTCAGTGGGACCTTTGTATTACATCTTTAAATCTTTTGATAATTTCTTGTAAGACAAATTTCATATTAAGCCTTCCCTCAACTGACCTTCCTGATTAACCTTGACGTCTTGTTAATTCTTCCATTGTTTTGTGGTCTTTACCTTTGACTCTTCCCCTTATGTCTGTTGTTTTCCTAATTTTTTCTAGCACTGCATTGCACTGTTCATTTTTCTTAATCTTCATCTTGATATCTCTCATCTCTGTTTTTAAAGCATTCTCCCTTTTAGAAACCGAAAAGGCCCACATTCTCTTCGGTGTTAACTGAATTTTTAAAATAAATGAAATCAATTCAAGGGCAGAAGCTACCATCTTGTTCTGAAACTTCCTAGCTTCTTTGTTCCCGCCCAGAATATTCTAACACCCAGGGAAGCATCTTCCTGCCATCCATCAAGAATCATTTGGTCATCATGTCCCAGAAACAAATCCATCCTTTCTTACAACAAATGAGCACCTTCCCTTTAATACCCGCTTCCAAAACCTGCTTCATCAAGGCATTCCACTGATTATCACCAAAGACTTGGGAATTTTTCATGGAAACAAAATTTTTTAAAGATTAAGTTTTCTGTTCCTATAGTTCTATCCCTTGTATCTTTATGCCTTTCCGATTGTATGCCTTCTGTGCAGGGATCCTGTCTTATTTTTGTCTTTTGTTGCATAACACACCCTAGTGCCATATGAGTATTTATAATAATAAAAGGGTAATATGCTAATTAGACTGAACAACCTTCTGGACAAAGCCGGGGCTGCGAGGGAAGCCCAGGTCCCGGGTGCCAGAGGGAAGCCGGTGCCAGCAGCCAGCGGGAAGGAAGGCCTACTCTTGCACGAATTTCATGCATCAGGCCTCTAGTTGAATTATATAAGTGATATGCAATGGGCTCAATATAGCCACCTGCCAGTGCAATAGCTAAATGCCCATTATTTTATAAAACATTAAGATTAAAATGATTACTAATAATCTGTAGTCCATGGACATTTTATTCAAGGCATTGTGCTTCAGTGATAGAAATGGGATACTATTTTACTTAATCATGGCATCATAATTACTACCTTACTTGTATAATATGATTTAGTTTGGAAAAGGCATTTCTGGACATCATCTCCTTTGATTCTGGAAAAGGATCTTGTAATCTAATTCCTCTATTCTTTTTTTCATTAATATTGATGGGAGGGAGTTCAAAATGCTAGGTTTTTAAAGAGTACATCATTGCCAACTTCCTCATACTTTTGATCAGTATTTCTACGATACTTCTGTATTCCTTGCTCAGAACTCAGGCCAATTATGGTTGAGACCCTGACAGGAACATTTTCAGCTGACTAGGAGAAATCGAATAGTTGCCACCTATCATAAGCTTTGAATTTCTCTGGAGTAATGTTTAGTTAACTCCCCCCTCCCTGCCCCCAATATAAACTTCAATTAATGGAGCAGGTCTGCAAAATATCTCAACAAACACAAAAATATGAAAATATTCTGTCTGTACAGGTTAGAAGAAATGGATGATACGCTTAACTTGCCCAGCGATGGTAGTGATTTTAATAGTTTTATTTTTTTTTATTTTATTTTTTTTTTAAATATATTTTATTGATTTTTTACAGAGAGGAAGGGAGAGATAGAGAGTTAGAAACATCGATGAGAGAGAAACATCGATCAGCTGCCTCCTGCACATCTCCTACTGGGGATGTGCCCGCAACCCAGGTACATGCCCTTGACCGGAATCGAACCCGGGACCTTTCAGTCCGCAGGCCGACGCTCTATCCACTGAGCCAAACCGGTTTCGGCAATGGTAGTGATTTTAATAGAAATGTTTGTTCACAGGTCGTCTTGCAGTGGTTTTCACCATATGTCTGTGATATCTCAGAGGCTGCCACAGCAATTGGGGGTAGATTGCATTTTTATGCCCCACCCCACCTTGTGTGTTTTATGCCAGAGATTCTGAACTACCTAAAGATCCTGGAGTAAACTCGATGGGCCCTCACAAATGCCACCATCTGTCTGTGTACAGTGCCCTGCCTGCCCTCCTGCAGTTTTTTCATTCTTCAGAAGTCAGCGCTGACATCAACACTCTGCAGAAGTCTTTTTATTGTCACCTTTTCCTAATCCTTTTTTTTTTTAGCTAAATGCACCTTTGTGCACCACCCTGTGCTCTCTCTGTTTAACCCCATCTTCTTTTAAAGTGTGTGAGCTCCTTCATGCAGATATTAGAAATTAGTCCTAATATTTCTCTGCCTTTTTAAGTAAATGATGGTGAAATAAACCCGTTTTAAAGTGGCTCAGGTTTATCACTGAGGATTGTACAGTGTTGTAATGTAGTGTTTGTCTCCGCTTACCTGTAGAAAAGATGAGCCAAGATTTGAGTTTTATTCTAGGTAGCCCCTGCTTTGAACTCTTTTTACTTATTCTCCCTATTTGTCAGTCTGTCACCCTTCTAGTTGTTCTGTTGTTTTCTGGTGTCAGTGTTTATCTACTTTTAACAAAGCACCCCTTTTCTTTTCCTTCCTTTTCAATGATCACATTCTAATTTCTGGGCTGGGAACTCACAGACCTGAACATTATTTATACACACACACACACACACACACACACACACACACACATACATACACATTCCTAAGCTACTGAACGACTGGTCAACCGGTTGCTATGATGCGCACTGACCACCAGGGGGCAGACGCTCAACACAGGAGCTGCCCCCTAGTGGTCAGTGCGCTCCCACAGCCAACCTCCCGCGGCCCTGACCCCCGGCTGGTCGGCCCCGATGGCCCTGATCTGGCCGGCCGGCCAACCTCCTGCAGCCCCCATCAGCCCCAATCGCTTGCCAGGCCGAGGGACCCCACCTGTGCACAAATTCATGCACCAGGCCCCTAGTTTGTTATAATAAGGTAAACGAAAGGACTGTGAGAGACTCACAAACAGCTCCAGCTTAGCTCACAAACTTTGCAGTAACTTTTTATTATTGCTTTCAAGAGTTTTTACACTTGTTTTTGTTTGCAGCTGGATTTGAGGTAACTGGAACTCTAACTTCCATTTAAGTGGGGTGTAAATCTAAATTTTGCAGAAGAGATAATCCAGGTTTTATACTCAGATAACACAGGGCTCTAATGATTGTAATGTTTTATGTACATTTCTTTGAAATGGATACATCAACACCTAGCTATTTTATATATTAATAAAATTATATAGGTTTCAACTGTACAATTCTGTACAAACTGATAATGTAGAGAATATTTTTATTGTAGAATTCCACACATCATTTAAAATTATTAGTTTCATTTTGGACATTTAAAGATATTCATTCTAGAATCTACTCTCCTCGTTTTTGAAAACTATGTAATGGTAATAGTCACCCATTTATTGAGTACTTTGTATGCATCAATCATTGTGCTAGGCACATGATTACCTAACTTCATCCTCACAGTTCTAAAGGCAAGTGTTAATATTATCTGTTTTAAAGATGGCGTAACTCATCCTCACAGTTCTAAAGGCAAGTGTTAATATTATCTGTTTTAAAGATGGCGTAACTAGACTTCGAATTTAAAAAATTATTTTCAACTCTCCAGTGATGGTTTGCCCACTATTCCATTAATATTTTTATAATGTTTTTATTGTTGACATATAATTCATATACCATATACTTCATCCTTTAGCAGTCATGCACCCAATTGATCTTCAATAGCAGCACCCACACACCACCCAGTCCTAGGCAACCACTAATCTACTTTCTGTCTGTAGATTTGCCTGTTCTGGACATTTCATAGAAATGGAATCATACAATATGTGGTCTTTTGTGTCTGGCTTCTTTCACTTAACAATGTTTATAATTTCATGGTTCATCGATGTTCATTCCTTTTCATTGCTGAAAATATTCCATTGCATGGATATATAACACACTTTATCCAGTCATCATTTGATGGACATTTGTCTCCAATTTTTGGCTGTTATTAGTAGAGCTGCTATATCCCATTAATATTTGCAACAAACATTTGCAAATATTTCGGAGAGTCAGTGGAAAAATATTAAACTAGGAGTTCTGAAACCTAAGGTCTACTCTAGCTTTGGTAGTAATTCCATATTCACTAAAGGAGATTTGACTAAAATTTCTTTGCCCTACCATAGTCAAAAATTTCATTTTATTTTTTGTCTTTTCAAGTGTGGGGCCTCAGACTGAGTCCTGCAGCAGAAGAAACATTAGGTCATTACAACTGTAAGTTCTACACTGCAGCTGGAAATGTAATCCATTTTAACCTTAATTTTTTTTGTGAAGTTACAGTTGGATAATACTTAAAAGTTCAATTTTACATTGCTCCTCTTTTGATGAAAAGGTGCTCTATTATATCAAATGATAGAAATTGTAATAAAAATTTTAAAAACAGCGAACACTGGATTGTACTAAGTAAATATTTTTATTTATCCTCATTTTTTATTTCTGGCAGGGAAAGAGATAGTCCTAATTTCTTTCATTTGTCACCACAATCTTCTAAATTCATCTTGCTTCCCCTTTTTTTAAAAAAAAATATATTTTTTTTTATTGATTTCAGAGAGGAAGGGAGAGGGAGATAGAAACATCAATGATGAGCGAGAATCATTGATCAGCTGCCTCCTGCACGCCCCCATCTGGGGATGGAGCCCTGACCTTGAACCGTGACCTCCAGGTTCATAGGTCAAAGCTCAACCACTGAGCCAGCGGGTGGGGCCATCTTGCTTTCTCTTTATACATAAAGAGGATGTTTGAGGATTTAAGGAAATGCTAGTTGACCATTTTTGTGAATTTAAAAAATTAAACTTATTAGGAGGACAGTGGTTAATAGAATTATATAGGTTTCAACTGCGTAATTCCAGTTGACCGTTCTGACATGCATGAAGGCTGGAGCAAACGTCCTATTTCCTTGACCACGCGGGTAAATTCGGTTTTGACTTTGATTGGTGGGCGGGACGGGGAGACCTTCTGGCCCACATCTGATAGCTGATTCGCAATATGCTTATCTACCCAGGAGACAAACCCGTGTTTGACGTTAACAGCTAAGAGAATAGTGTACAGAAACACTCGTACATGTCCCACACCTTCCAAACACTGGCGAGCGGCAGGTCCCCGCGGGAAATCTCACAACCAAGAGAGCGCGGCCTCGGCCAGTCGCCGACGCTGGGAGACCTGCGTGTGTGTCGGGGGGAGGAGGTCCCGCTGTCTCCATGGAAACCACCGAGCGGCAGGGCCTGCGAGGCCACCTGCCCAGGAGCCCGAGAGTCCGCGGCTGCCAGTGCCGCAGGCTGCCGTCTGCGCCTGCGCGCGCCACAGGCCTCTTCGTCAGAGAGGCCCGGATGGAGGACGCTGAGACGCGCCGTTGCCATGGCAGCCGGGTCCCGGCTGCGTAGGTAGCAGGTGCCGGGGTCTCCCTCGCCTCCTTGTCAGAGCTAAGGAAGAGGAGGAGAGGAGAGCACCCCCGGCCATCTCTGTGACCTCAGCCTCCGCACCGCACAGGCAGGAGGGGCTGTAAGGGACCAGGGACCGAGGGAAGGACGGTGCGGACTTGTTTATGGGGGAGCGAGTGAACCGGGGGAGCTGCCGGGACAGGTGGGAGAAAGGGGGCGGGAGACCAGGGGGCAGAGCCCTCCTGTGGGCTCCGCATCCTCCCGAGTCCCGCGTCCGCGGAGCCTGGCGACGCCTGGCTGTTGGCGGGTCTGTCATTGTTGCGTAGCCTTTCCCTCCCCACGGCTCCTCCCTGGGACGGAAAACTCACTCCCCCACATCAGCTCCTTCAGGAAGAGGCCAGGCCGTCGCTGAGTCCCTGGTACCTGGGATACAAGGAAAACGACCCCCTGGTGTTTGTTAACTGTTATGTATCGTTATGCTTGGGGTGACAGATTATAAGTTTTTTTTCTTTATTTTTATTGTTGACACTATTACAGATGTCCCTATTCATCCCCCCTTTCTTCCCTCCACTCAAACCCCGACCCCCTCCCTGTGGCCATCATCACTGTTGCCGGTGCCCATGGGTTAAGCACGAGTGTTCTCTGTTGATCCCTTCACCTTCTTCAGTCCTGGGAACCGTCTCCGCAGGATGCAGCAGGAAGAAGGGGCCGGTGGTCTCGGGATGTGACCACGGGGTCGATTTTGCTTAAGTTCTTATTTTATGTTAAAAGGCGTTCTCTTTGACATTCTTTGCATGTTCTTAGAATTTAAACACCCTTGTGTTTAAAAGGAGACGAGATAAGAGTGGAGTCTGTGACTTAGATGAAACTATATTTGTAAGTTGTGAATCCTGAAAGTTATCAACATTGTGTATATCCCTGGACTCAGGCTCAACACTAAAAAGGTGGGCAGTCACGTTCCCTCGTGGGAGTTAGCAGACACCAGGGAGAAGGAATTACTTTCTGTCTCTTACTATAGTTCCTGTTAAAGTAGTTCTCGTCCAAGCCAGTTACATGGATTTCTAAGGAGGACAAACATGTAAATTTAAATGTGTGAAACTTACAGGAAATGTGTTGGGCGATTCCGTTGGTGTGAGGAGTATTTTTGTTGGAGCATGTTGACTGTGTATCATATGGCCAGTACCCTGGGAATGAAGATTAAAGGGACTGGAGGGGATTGAATATCCGGTGACGCACTTGAAAAAGGCTTAATAGGCAACAAGAGTTTATAATTCATGTTCTTTGTTTACTTGGGAACTAGCCATGAATTTTTTAAAGTTATAGGAAAAGAATGGCACTTTTGATTCGATGCAACCTATCAGTTACTTCTCAGAGTCACTTCAACTGTGGCTTTTTTAAGTATGGTATATTAGTATGACGTAATAACACCTAATATGTTTAATTTGTCATCATTTTATTTTTATTTATTATTTTTATGCTATGGTTTGGATTTAAATTTGAGTTTTCACCTGGGTGAGATTCTTTGTAAGTAATAAAGCATATTAACGAAAGTCTTTAGACAACCATTTATTTACAAGGTCCACTCTGTTTATTATAAAGTTGAGGGAAAGCATGGGAGAGTTCCATACAAATCTTATTCTAACAATTAGTTATGTAACTTACACATCTTAACATAGTACATTTCAAGATCCCTGCTCTGAAAAGAGGGCTGATGGTCCTAAGGCATTTGTGACTGTGAAAAATGGAACTAGGTATGTGTTTTGAATCACAGTGAGTTTCAGTTTATTCTGCATGACTCATGGCAACCTTATTTCACTTGCTAGGTAAGTAAGCATAACAGTTGATGTGACTTAGTCTGCCTTGCAGGTAGGCAGTGGTGAGTAAACTCACTCTGCAATACTGACTTGGTTTCTCTAGGTCACCTCAAAGTATTATTGCTCTCAACCTCTGACTTACAAATTATCACAGCTTTACTCTGAGTCCTTTAAGAACGTCCATTTTGTAATCTTAGTTTAAAAGAAAGAAATATCTAGAAGTAATTATAGTCCAACTAATACATTAGAAATAGTTATAATTATCCAGTTGAATAATTGACATTTCAGTTACCCAAGACTAACTTTGTCTTGAGAAGGAAAGGAAACCAATATGAAGAACTAGACAAAGAAAGATGCCATTTAAATGAGACAGACTCCACAGTGTTTTTAAATCTTGAACTTAGTTATTTAGATACCAAGTATTTATTTTATTTTTTTGTAGTATACATATATATATTTACATTCAGTATTTATTTTGTGTCCGTTTCAGGTGTGGTTAGACAACTTTACACAGTGCTCCCTCTGATATTTGCAGTACCCAACTGGCACCATACATAGTCATTACAATATTATTGACTACTTTTCCTATGCTGTACTTTACATCCCCATGACTATCTTGTAACTACTAATCTGCACTTCTCTTTTTCTTTTTCCATGACAGTTTCCCTTTTTTATATTCTGTTTTGCTCAATCCCTCTCCCCTCTCCCCTTTCCCTGCCTCCCATCTCCCCTCTGCCACTGACAGCTGTCCTCCTGCTGTCGATGGTCTGTCTCTGTTTTGGTTGTTAGATACCCTTTACCGTGGTGCTATGCATTTGCTTTTAAAATTCTCTTGCTTTTCACGAGTTGGCAGTTGTTTGTTCATTTGCATCTTACAGAAAAGGTTAAAAGCAACCTTAAGAGTCATCTAGCTCAACTTTTCTAAAGCTTCGACCTGGAAAACATTCATGCCCGAGTCATCTTCTAGGCATCTCACCTCACTTCAGGACAAGCTCTGAAATGGAACGTCTCTCTTCCACGTACCTAAACCTGCTCCACGTTTCCAGCCCTCGTACTAATTGTACTACTCGACGGGATACAAGTCCACTCCCCTTCACATGGCAGCCTTTTCAATAGTGTTTAACAGGTGCCATCCAGGGCCTGCTGTCATCCAAGTGCTCCCCAGAGTCTGCTGCTAAGACACTTTACCTCACAACCTACCTTCTTCCCTTCTCCTCTCTTTGATCCCCTCTCCTGGCCTGCTAGCCCCATGAATGACTCCTAGCTTGTCTTCTGTTCTTTAAACGGCAGCAGCACAGGAATCGGTACAGGGCTTCCTGTGTTGTTTCTCACCCACAGTCTCAGCCTTGGAGCTCTTTTACGTTTTGGGTATCTCCATTTTTAAACTCATTTTGAACCCAGTGTTCACCAAGCCTATTGCAGTGTTTTTCACGTGTAGTGCTGAAAAGCCCTGCCACGTGTCTGGTGCAGCCAGTGGAAAGATGGCCCCCCACATGCTTCTACTATCATTTGTCGGTGAACAGGGGAAGGAAAACAATTTAAATCTCACTTTAGTAAAATTGGTACCAGGACAAGGTGGTCTCCTCAAATGTTTGGGGAGAATAAAGTGAAGCTAATGGCTAAAGCAAAGTTCCAATGGGTAATTTATCAATTCAGCCACAATAGCTCTCATGTTACATCTTTATCAGTGTGCTGAGGTCTCTCGCATTCTTGACATCCATTTGTTCTACTTCCAAAACAAGTTTTAGGCAACTTATTCTTGGTGGAGGAGCCAGAGAAGCAGGTATGGGAACAGGCTCCCAGATGCTTGGAGCCCTAACATCAGATTTCTACAGTTTTTTTGAAACTGGGTCTAATATTCTGTGTACATTTAAAGAGCATGGCTCTTTAAGTCAATAGTGAGAAATGTGTAGATTATCGCTATATAGTTCTACCTTTGGCTATTTTGTGACAATTAAATCTACATAATTTTCCCTCAACCCTTTTCTTTGTGAAAGATAATATGACATCAAACTGACCCCTCCATATTCCTTCCAGATCTTTCTTTAGTGGTATGTTTATGTTTAGTTCCAGGCTTGTCCATGTGTGTTTGTTCTTTCTCGTGCTGTTCTGTTTGCGTGGAATAGCTGATGGACTCTCAGACTCAGTAATCAAACCCTGCTCAGCTTTCCATGGTATTTGCAATTTAGACTGAGTTCATTGCTTCTTTTATCCCTTCTACAGTCCTTCATATACACCTTTATTACATTTATTTACATTTTTATTTTTCCCTACATTTTAAATTTATGTGTTTTGTTTATGTTTGCCTTCTGTACTTGACTGAGTAGGCCAGAGGTCTTGTATAATCTTTATAGGAATACTAGAGGCCCAGTGCACAAAATTCATGCACAGGTAGGGTCCCTAGTGGCTGCCAGCCAGCTGCTGGCCAGGGCCTTCCTTTGTTACACACTGCCCTCTGGTGGTCAGCACACATCATAGCGAGTGATTGAACTCCCGGTCTCCTGGTCAAACTCCTGAGGGGACACTTTGCATATTAGGCTTTTATATATATAGATTATAGGTGTGTGCAAAATTGTGCATATATGTGGTATGGTCACACACATATACAGACACATTATAGGTAGAGATTTACATGCTTCTTTTGTTTGAAAAGTTGTGCACAAAAAAATTAACATGGCTATGCACTGACCTCAATTTGAAGATAACTTTAGCTTAGCTCTTTTAAAAATGATCATTTCATTTCATTTCACAAACATTTATTAACTTTCATCTGACATCTCTATTTATTGTTACTGTCTTCTAGTATTAGGCATCAGAGTTTGTTTTTTTTAACAAAAAAAATGTTTTATTTAGAGTTGACAACAGCCTGACTTCTGTGGAAACCAGCATTTACCATAAATGAGAATTAGTTATTACTTAGTTAAAAAGCTCTCAGGTCACAAATTATAGTTACGCCTATAAGTGACTAGGACAGGGGTGGGCAAACTTTTTGACTCGAGGGCCACAATGGGTTCTTAAACTGGACCGGAGGGTCGGAACAAAAGCATGGATGGAGTGTTTGTGTGAACTAATATAAATTCAAAGTAAACATCATTACATAAAAGGGTACGGTCTTTTTTTTTTTTTTAGTTTTATTCATTTCAAACGGCCCGCGGGACTAGATCCTTCTTTAAGAAGGTGGGGAAACTGAGGGTGGGGATTGATAACTTGTGTTCATTTGAACATAAGAAAATGCAGATGAGTGAGACTAAGAAGCTGAGTCATGTGCTGTGAGCGCTCTGACGCACAGGCGTTTTAATGCTACCCGGGGAATGTGGAACATCCCTCTCTAAGCCGCCGATGGTCTTCTTATCTGCCTCTTAGTCTCCTTGCAAATTCCGGCTTCGGGAATTGGGGGGAAGTGGTTAGGAGTAGTACACTTGGAAAATGTCTGGCCACTGTAAGTCCACAGGCACATGTTTATTCTGAGCACCCCATGTTTTGTGGGTCTGTGTTAATGAGCTTATCTTCAATATTGGTCTTTAGACTCACATACACCTGAAGTGCACATAGCATAGACCTTATCTCTTTTTGTCTCACAGCATTATTCCCTAACACACAGAAAATGGATGAAAATAAAGATACTGATTCCAAAGAAACTGGAGAATATGAAGATGACTTTGAAAAGGACCTGGAGTGGTTAATTGATGAAAAAGAACAAAGTGATGTCAACATAATAGAGGTATAAATAAATTGCCAACAGCAACAAAGTGTTTTGTAATTCTTGAAGAGTTTCATATTATCTCGTCTAAACCTCACAAAATTTCTTTAATGTACATAGAACAAATGACATCATCCCATCTTATAAATGAGAAAATAGAGGCACGGAGAGTTTAAATGTTGTATCTTAAGGCACGGGTAATTAGTGAGAGAACAGGGGTTAAGTTAGCACTTAATAAAGCTAAAATTATAATTCTAAAATTGAATTTATATAATATAAATAATATAATTAATTGCATGAAAAGCAAAAAAATGAGTACAATTCATTTCTAGTTTATATAAATGGGTAAAATGGAGATTTAATGTGAGTGACAAATGAAGCAAATCCTCAAAAAACATAGTCTTTTGGCTAATATTTGAAATCTTAAGAGTAAATAAGCTCTGAGCAACAAAGAAAAGACAAGTGAATGAGCTCTTCAGGGAATTAATATAGAAAAATATAGAGGGTCTATTACTTTTTTTCTCTAGAAAATCTAGAGGTAAAAATTGATCTGGGATTTGGGTTCTGCAGAAAATGGCAATAATAATCTCAAGGGATTCTAAGAACCTCAAAATAATTAGGACTTGACCAATGGCAGTAACTTTTAATGGTCTTGGGGAGAAAGATACTTTTTTTTTGAAGAATACAAATATAAAAAGAAAACATTAAAAATATATACTTCTGAAAATGTAAAGGGAGGAAAATCTTATAGAGGGTGGAATATTAAAATAATATTTATAGTTACCTTTTCATGCATTGGCATAAAATACTTTAAATATCAGTATAGCACTCAATACCATCAAATACAGATTTAGAGTTAAAATTTCCTGACTGCTGTTGTCCATGCATTTCTCCTGGGGTGCTCACAAATGTGAGTTAGAATATTATGAGCAAAGTGCGAGCAGGAAGCACATGTATTTTTCCATTTCTAAAACAAATTACATGAATCTGAAAATCCATTTCTGTTTTTTTTTACATATAAATAAAGTGTCTCCATTTTTGCTGAAAAGAGAACCTCATATATATATATATTTTTTAGATGGCTTGTGGGAATGAAGAGAGCATTAGCAAAGAGTTAAAAGAGAATGAAACAGAAGCCGAACACACGGGACAGCTTCCTGATCCTGACACATCCTCGAGGGATGAGGCTTCACCAAGAAGAAATGACTTCATTTCCGTACCGAGTAGTCAGTCTTTGGAACCCATGTCAGATTCAGACAGTGAAAACTCCTTCCAGGAATCCAAACTGGAAAGCCAGAAAGATGTGGAGGAGGACGAGGATGAGGAAGTGAGGAGATACATTATGGAGAAAATTATACAAGCCAACAAGATTCTACAGAATCAAGAACCCGTGAATGACAAGAGGGAGCGGAAACTGAAGTTCAAGGACAAATTAGTGGATCTCGAAGTTCCTCCGCTGGAAGACACTGACGACTACAAACGTTGTTTTGAAAATGAGAGCAATGTGTCTGGGAAACTGTCGCAGTTACATATTTCCAATGAACTTGGACAGGAAGGTGTGCTCCTGTCGCTCCCTGGCGGGAGCTGTGAGGAGAACAAGGACAGGAAGGTACTGGTCGAGAGAGACGGGAAGTTTGAACTTATGAATCTGCAAGACATTGAGAGTCAGGGGTTCTTGCCCCCCATTAGCAATGTCAACAGTTCAGAACATGACGCTCAGCAGTCATCAGCCAGGTCCTCCAGCTCAGCTGTCAGTGGTGTCAAGAAGGAAGAGCCTGCAGCAAAGACCCAGGGCTCATCCACAGAGGAGCCCGCGGCTTTCCCCCCTCAGCCGCCACCCAACCCCAAGGCTCGGCCCAGCTCTGCTGCCAACTCAGAGCCCAGTAAGGGGAATGGGAAGTCTAATCACAGGATACAGTCTGCCAATGTCTCTCCAGTGACCTCCACGTATTGTCTTTCTCCGCGACAGAAGGAACTGCAAAAGCGGCTGGAACAGAGGAGAGAGAAGCTGAGGAGGGAGGTGAGAGCGCATGGGCACTGGGTGGAGAGGAGAGTCTGTTTTCATATTTCACAGGTGCCGCAGCAATGGAAACGGTCCTTCACCAAAGTATTTCTTCCAAGTGTTGGGCGTATTTGCCTGGTTGCTTTGTTTTCCTGTCGGAATATGAAGGGTTGAGTGTTCAGAATGGGTATGGACGGGATGAACACCATGACTACCTTGGTCCTTCGTGTAAGGCTCCCAAAGCCCCGTAAAGAACACCTGGGTTGGAGCGGGGGTCGAGCTCAGTGGGGACTTCATCTGATCCTTTCATTGTAAAGGTGAGGCTCAGAGAAGTCAGGTGACTGCTGAAAGGAACCTAGATGGGAAGGTAGAGGCAAGCTGTGCTGGGGTTTAGGAAGCAACAGGTAGAATTGGATTATAATTCTGTGGCGTGTGTGTGTGTGTTTCATGTATCGTGTATGCCTATAATCCCTTGAGTTCAGGGATTTTAGTTTCAAATTAAGAATAGAACTAATAACCTTAGTGAAATATCTCCAGAATGCCTTATGGAATCCAAAATTATTATTTTGGGGTATTTTTTTGCTCTTAAAATAAAAGTATTTTATAATTGAAAACTCCAGGTGCCAAAACTGGTACGTTTTCTTGAAATGACTTGAATGCCCCAAATTCTCTGTTTTACTGGATAAGTAATGGTGTTAAGCTGAACCACACAAAATGTCTAACTGTAAATACCAAACCTCAGCAGAATCGTGGGCTAATAGGATGTTACAGTTAGAGGAAAGCTTAAAGATCATGTTGCAGATCAGAAAACTATAGTGTAGAAAGTTTAAGTAACTTTACCAAAGTCATTCAATTTGTTTGTAGCAAAGTTGGAGTAAAAAATCCCAGTTTTCTTGGCATTCATTGAGAAATAGTATATTTTCCATTTAGGCAGGAAACTACTGGGGGAATCTCTGTGTTTATCAGGAACTCACATTCTCAGAAAAAGTGAAAAACAGAGTCAGCAAGAACATGGAGCCCATGGCCCACTCAGGCGGAGTCTGAAAGGATGCAGACTCAGTGTTTTCTGGCTCGGCCACTGGTTCTAAACTCTAACAGTCAGGCTCCGCTTACTTGGATCAGATACATAACAGTACTTAAAGCAGCGGTTCTCAACCTGTGGGTCGCAGCCCTTTGGCGGTAGAACGATCCTTTCACAGGGGTCGCCTAAGACCATCCTGCATATCAGATATTTACATGACGATTCATAACAGTAGCAACATTACAGTTATGAAGTAGCAATGAAAATAGTTTTATGGTTGGGTCACAACATGAGGAACTGTATTTAAAGGGCCAGAAGATTGAGAACCACTGACTTAAAGTCTCTGTTAACTTTATGACAATTAAAAAAAATGCATCTGTTGAGAGTAACTGGACGCACACAGCCATGCATATGTGTGGGCGTATTTCTGTAAAAGTGATGGAGGATGTTTTACACCATTTCAGTATCTCTCACCAGTGAACTAAGGGTAACTGTGACTGGTGTGGCTGGTAGATTGTTCTGTTTGCATTTGATCCTCTTCTCTGGGCGTCACACACACTATTGTTTCCTCGTGTCAAAGATCCGCATAGCTGTTCCCCTTCCCTCGTACTTGCTGAAGGCATGGGCTTTATAATCTAAGGCTTTAAAAATATTACTTAGCTTCTTTCACAGCTTTATTTTTTATGCCCGACAAAATATTGCTGGGCTGGCTGCTGTACTCTGGCTCTCTGCTAAGGGAGCCATTTCTCCGTTCTCCCTGGCAGCTCTGTTAGCTGGGCTCTGGCTGATGTTGTCTGTGTAAGTGTCTAAAGGTTCCTTCTGGAAAGATAATCGTCCTACCATACTGTCCGTGTCCATGCAAGGCATCCAACGTCCTTTTTTTTTTTTCGTAAAAAGGAACTATATATAATGTAAGCTCCATTAGGGTTTAGAAAATAGTAGACAAGCATGTTAATAGGTATTTTATGCTGTTAAGGGGATAGAATTTTGCCTTTCCTTCCTATATTGTGTTCCATCCAAAGGAATTAGAAGGACTTTCTCTGTTGTCAAAGCGTAAGGAAAGGATTCTGAATTCCATTCTTTGAGAAAATGTAAGCAGGGATTGTGTCGTTCAGTTCATTTCAGTGATGACTTTAGTGTTGGGAGAGACTGGAGACCTGTGAAGGCAGCTCATGTCAGAGGTGAGAACAGTGCGTACACGGCAGGGTGAGTGCCCTCAGGCCGAGCTCGCTGCTGTTCCCACCACCGCGCCGCGCGGCTCCCACACGCTGCTTCATCGCTGTCAGTAACTGGGTCCATGAAGTACCTCCCTTCAGGTTTAAGTCACTCCCTTTTAGAATGTTAGCTGGATAATTCAGGTTTAAAAATTCATTTTGTTCTTGCATTTAACTAATTATCTAAACATTTTTCCTGATAGCAAAGTGTTAATTTATGAATATATGCTAGCTGAAAATATGTTTAAACATAATAATAAAAATTCCAAACACATCTAAAGGTGCCACTAACCCTCTGTTCTCATCCAGATTCAGAAATCGCTGAGATTTTGGCGTATTTGCTTCACCTCCTTCGTGGGCTAAGGGATTTTCAGAGGAGGTCCTAGACAGCACATGGTGGCTCACTTACACCCTTCAAAGTACATCTCTAAGTGACTGCAGCCTTTTCTTTTGCAACCACAATGCCATTTATTACAATGAACAAATGTAACAATAATAGAAAAGCATTTAGAACATCTTTCTGCTTTCACGGACATCATTCAGTGCTTCTGTGGCTTAGCTGCATTTAAGACCAAAATTAAAGTAGGAAGTGGAGGAGAGATTCAAGGAATTCCTGGACAGTATGTATTATACACCCATATAATTGTAGCCTTTGTCTCTACAGTTTGATTTATCTCAAAAAATATTTATTCTCTTCCTAAGCAAATTAGAGGCATCATCATCATTATTATTATTATTATTATTATTATTTTTAAAGAACACCTAGCTTTTCGATGGAAAGTTTTAGAGGCAGGGAATTCTAACTTCAGATCTCAAAATATCTCTCTCTACTCTAAGGACTCACCTACGATTTTTAAATCTTTTATTAATGCCTTTTGATGTTCTTTCCACCAGGAAGAACTACGGAAAATAGAAGAAGAGAAAGAAAAGAAAAAGGAGAACGACATAGTGTTTAAAGCGTGGTTGCAAAGGAAAAGAGAGCAGGTCGTAGAAATGAGGAGAATTCAGCGAGCAAAGGAAATTGAAGACATGAGCAGTAGAGTAAGTAAAACTTCTATGAAAATTAATTTCATACAGAGATGGAGGTGGGATTTGTTTACGGAAGGGCATCAGAATGTCAGACTAAGAACATCTGCGAGTAGAGAGACTGGTCCAGGAACCACCCTCGCAAAAGATGCATCAGGCGCATCCTAAGAAGCCTTGCAAAAATCCAGTGACTCCTATTTCATTTAAACTGTCATAGCACCAAATAGGGAAAGCTACCAATTTTTTTAGACAGTGTGACTTTTATATTCAAATAGGGCAAAGATGGGGTGCACATACAAAATACCCCTACACCTGCATTAAGAAGTGTGCTTTCAAGTGTTTTTATTTTTACCAACATGATAGGTAGAAAATGTTGTTGCATTGCAGTGTTATTTTCAGCAAGACTGATCACCACTGAGCTGTTTGAATATTCTTTTCATAGAAAAATTCTTTGTCAACTTTTCTGTTAGGAAATCTTCTTTGAGAAATCTACTGCATTACTTTTTTCCTTTGGTTTTTCATTTTTTGGTTTTGTAATGCAGAAATGTTTGGTTTTATATGGTTGTATTTAAAAAAACATAAAAACAAATCCTAGAAATATTAAAACATAATCTAGTAAAGCACAATATAAAACCCTACATTCAGTCTAGGAGAAAATTTTGTCTATTTTGTCTTCAACTTACATCCCGAGTCCCACATCTTCATCTAAACCACCACTGCGTGTTGCCTGACCCGCTGCAAAAGCCTGGTAACTGCTCCTCCTTCTTCCACCTTGCCCCCAACTCCATTCCGTCTCCAGCACAGCAGCCAGGGTGAGCCTCTGAATGCGGAGTAGATTGCATCAGGTACGCTCAGAAACCTCCAATGGCTCCTCATCTCCAAATAAAGTCCCAAGTGCCTACCACCGCCTACAAGGTTGTACACTGTCAGATCCCTGTTATTCTGACTTCGTCTCCTTCCACTTGCCAGCCACTTTGTGACAGCTTCATTTTGACTTTGCTTTTTATTGAACGTGCAAAACACAGCCCCTTGTCAGGTCCTTTGCTGTGTTACCAGTGCTTGGAAGACTGTCAGGATGTCTCCAAACTCGCTCCCTCACTTTCTCTCTAAATACCCTCCTTTCTCCTCACCTTCCCATTATTAGTTTCTCTCCTTACCACACTTTTCTTTGCATCTGACATACCAGTCGGTCAATCAGTCATCTATTCTTATCTGCTCGTCTAGAACAACACTTCCCAGTGTGGCTTTCTGAGCTGATGGAAACACCCTGCACCTGTGCTGGCGATCAAGACACAGTGTGGCTGTGAAGCCCTGGAAATGGAGCTAATGTGACCAAGATGCTGAGTGTGTAATTTTCTCTGTCAGTAGCCACATGCGACTAGCAGCTACTGCGTTGTACAGTATCGGCCTAGGATGTATGGGAGAGCTGACCTGGTTTGTTCATTGATGTGACTGAGTACTCATGTGCCTGTAGATAGTCTATATAATAGATACTCTGTAAATATCCGTTGAATGAGTAAATGGACAGAGATACCCATCAATCCTGTTGGTTCCTGAATTCCTGTCTCTTCTGGTCTATAATTCCAGATGAACACTTTCTGTCATCTGCAGTTCATCGGTATCCTTTAGGTCCATGAGTCCTCTTCACCAGGTTCAGCGTTGTACACGAAAGACCCTAGGCCACATGCATTTCATAACTGAGACCAGCATGCTTTGCCATGTGGATCGCAGGTAAAGGAAAATGCAAGGTGTAAGAGAAGGTCTGCTCCATCACGGGCTCATATTTGGGGGAAGTATTAAGTGAGTGTTCTAGCCAGGCATCCATCCCAAGGCCCCAGATCTGTCCCTTTGCTCTCTTTATTCTCCCAAATATCTCTTTCAACACAATGGGCTACTCCCACTAGCTGCTGCTTATGACAAAGCTTCATGGCTGTTACCCTTATGAGAGATTCTACGGCTGCAAATGCTAAAGCCACTCTCCATAAGAGTAGTTACAGCTTTGGAGGTGGGCTGGGCAGCTAGACGCTCTCAAAGCTAAAAATCAAAGCTGGGATCTCGTGAAGTTCCATGGTGGCGGCAGATGAAGTGGAAGCTACACTGACACTCTCCCAGGACCAAACTGGAATTACAACTAAAATATAGAAAAACCATCCTGAATAATCAAATGAAGGCCAGCTGGAGAGAGCCCTGAGAACCAAGGATGTCAAGTGGAGACCACATACAGACTGGTAGGAAGTCAGAATCACCTGGAGGCTGCCCGGGCAGCAGCTGAAGTTCCGGAGGGATAGCTCAGCTATGGGGGGTTCCCACTGACAACTCTGGGGTCTAAACCCCAAAGTTAGCATCTAAAGAAAGGCTGAATAACGTAAGTGTTGGATCTTTGGTTTTCAGACTGTATTCCACGGACATTCTTCAGATTGCTACAAAGACCTCAACTCTACTCACATTGCCTTTCTCCAACTGTTTTGTTTGTGCAAAATTATTTTTTCTTGTCAAAGGGCTCAACTTTGCAAGTCGCTATGTTTAGACCTTTATTTATTGATGACAGTCATCCCCCAGTACCTGTGTGGGATTGATCCCTGGGTCCCTCTGCGATACCAAAATCCCTGGATGCTCAAGGCCCTTATATAAAGGGTGTAGTATTCGCATATAACCTACATAATCCTCTCGTACACTTTATTTTTTTATTTTTTATTTTTTTAAAAATATATTTTATTGATTTTTTACAGAGAGGAAGGGAGAGGGATAGAGAGTTAGAAACATTGATGAGAGAGAAACATCGATCAGCTGCCTCCTGCACACTCCCTACTGGGTATGTGCCCGCAACCAAGGTACAAGCCCTTGACCGGAATCGAACCTGGGACCCTTGAGTCAGCAGGCCGACGCTCTATCCACTGAGCCAAACTGGCCAGGGCCTCTCATACACTTTAAATCATCTCTAGGTTACTTATAATACCTAATAGAATGTAAATGATATGCAAATAGCTGTTATACTGTATTGTTTTCTTTCTTCTATGTATACATGTATTTTTTATTGAGAGAACATTGGTTAATAACATTTTATAAGTTTCAGGTATGCAGGATGATAATTCCATGTCTGTGTACACTGTAGTGTGCTCACCAGTTATCACCACACAATTGACCCCTTCACCCATTTTGCTCTCTTCCCACTGCCTTCCCCTCTGTTACCATCTATATATTTTCTGTACCTGACATTGTTTTTATTTTGTTTCGTTTGTTCATTTGTTTCTTTTTTGTTTTATATTCCCCATAAAAATGATTGAAATCACAGTTTTTTGTCCCTTTCCATCTGACTTATTGCACTTAGCATAGTACATTTGAGACCCATCCATGTTGTCATAAATGGCAATATGTCATCTTTTTTTATGACTAGTACACCATTGTACATAAATGCCACATCTTTTTTAACCCTTCACCTACCACAGCTTAGGTTGTTTCCGGGTTGGCTGTTGTAAATGATGCTGCAATAAACATGGGAGGGCCATGCTCACTAAGACTTTTGAAAGAAGCCACATGGCAGTGAATTCAGTGCGGAATTTTCTGACGGGGGGAGTCATTGTTGCTGATTCAAATGTGGTATGTTTGGTTTGGATATGAGGAGTGCAGGTCATGGGTTGGCATTACTATGAAAAATTTGAGTGGGACCTATTCTTGTAGGGTCCTGTAGGCAGGGTCTCAGAGTGTAGTTGTGGTTTATTCAAATTAAGCAAAGCTTGTTTTTGTAACTAGCAGGAAAACAGAGACCCACAACAAGCTTTTCGATTATGGCTTAAAAAGAAGCACGAAGAGCAGCTGAAAGAAAAAAAGACAGAAGAACTACGAAAGCAGGAGGAATGCTTGTTCTTCCTCCAGGGGACAGAAGGCCGTGAACGGGCCTTTAAACAGTAAGTCACAGGCAGGGCGCGCCCCTCCCTCACGGTCGTTTTAGAAAGTTATATATGGATAAAGCTTGGGGGAAAAAATAAGCCAAATATTGGATCTTTGACATTGCATCCTATTCACTTTTAAATCCACTTTAATAAATGTGTGAGATTCTTTGATTCCACACTTGGCACAATATTGATACCATTCTTTTAAGATAGTTTTCAACACTAAAGTTGTTTCTTATGGCACCAGTGTGGTAGCCTTTGAGAGCCCACCATTCATTCATATATCCATGTTTGTTCATTTCTTAGAGGAATGGGCCAAAGATTGATTACAGCTTCTCCTACGTAGTCCTCAGAAAAACTGAATAGTTACATTTACCTAGAACTATTTTTCTGTAAAGAAAGGCAGTCAGACTGAGGAGACCAAATGAGAGGAGATTTGGGTACATATGTTGGTGGCTCAAGGCAATCCTGATCTCTCTTCAGTATCTGGGTAAGACCCTGCATTACCTGGCTGGTTCTGAGGAAACACACCTGGCTTATAATTCTGCCAGCAGTTACTTTCATTTCTGTTTTTGTTTTTTATATATTTCTCTTTTTTTCTTTGTCTCTCTCTCTTCCTTTTTAAAAAATATATAACCCTTTATAATAGAAGCAGTAAAATTCATTGTAGAAATGGAGGGGGAAAACATCGCATTCTCATCACTCAAAAATCACTATTGTTAGGACCTTAGTGCATATATTCTAGATATTTCTCTGTATTTATAATTTAAAAATAGAAATTGAGATCATACTTACAAACTGTTCTCAATTGGCTTGTTTTCATTAATGATCTCATCTACCTCCAGCCCGTAGCCATTTTTTCCCAGTTGGCCCCCAAAATTGCTACAGTTTAATTTGCTCAAACTAGCATCCAATTCAGGACCACACTGCATTGGGTTATGATGTTTCTTTTTTTCTTTTTTTTTTCTTAAGTGCCTTTTTCTAATACAATTTTAAAGTTTAGATTTATTTCTTTAAAATAACACACACACACACACACACACACCACGTACATACTTACATACTAGATATGTGTGTATACAATGATTTTTTATGTTATTTTACCTAAGCAAGATTTATAGACTTAAATTTGTTAGAATGTGGACTCTCCATTTTTTGATGTTTTTTATGCTTAGGCTTATTTTTCTGCTTTAAGGAAGAACTAGTTTATGCAATGAAAATCAAGAGCTCTGTAATTTTCTACCAAGAAAAGCAATGCAACATTGATGCATGCTGGGATTCTCAGCCTGGTTAAGTAAGGTTTTAGCATGCAACTAGTTATAAAAAATGAGTTATTTGGAATCTATCACATACTTATTTATGTATAAAGCCATATTTTTTAAAAAAGGATAGGACCCATATCACATATAAAACTGTTTATTACTAAAAAATGTTATGTTTGCAATTTCATTGTAAGACAAACTTAATTCAAACATTCAATACCAGATATAACTATGTTTTCTTGTGTGGGCCTAGGACATAAGCCTGAAATTTTTCAGTTAATACTTTTGTGTTGTGACTACAGCGTTTCAGTGTAAAGACATTCAGTTTCTTTTAATTGGCTATGGCAGTAACTTTATAGCATGACGCATACATGCTGGTTACACCAGACCTGGTCATGTCTGTTCCTGCAGGTGGCTACGAAGGAAGCGGGTGGAAAAACTAGTGGAGCAACAAGCTGTCAAGGAAAGGACTAGACAGTTCCGACTGGAAGCAAAGCGTTCCAAACAGTTTCAGCCATATATGTCCGAAGCCAAATCCTTCCGTTTTACTGACCATTACAACTGAAGGTATCTATTAAATACTTCATTTTGAAGCCACAATCCTCAGAATTTTGGATATTATTTTTGTATGCCCCTGTGCTTTGGTTATACTCTGAATTATGGAAATGGTACATCTTTTTGGTGATGTTGACAGTGATTGATCCTTTCTTTTTTACACTAGAACAAAATAAATTTCTTCTCTTGATGTGTGTGAATGTGTTATACCCTTTCTTAGGCCATGCAACAAATTGAACAATGAATGAATTCTGCATTATTTATTCCCTTACTTCTAAATTATTTTAACGTTTCTAACAGGAAAGAACCACAAGAAAGGCACATTTCTATTCTTAGTTCTTATTATCATGAAAAAAATGCAATAGGACATTTCATAAGGCAGGAGGAGTTACCTCTTGAACAAGCCTGGCTCAAGGCCTTATATAAAGTCCTATTTATATCACCTTTAACCTTGACTAGCTGTGGCAATAAGCAATAGGGTAGGCCGACTTCTTTAAAACAAAGTGACAATACTGTTTTAGGTATGTTACAAAATTAGCCAGCTCTTAGTTTATAATGTGCCTGGTATTGTAAATGCTTTACATAAATAATTTAGTATAATGTTGGTAACAACCCTATTAGTCTTGTTTTGTCCATGAGGCCAGCAGTGTTAGGTTCACAGTGTTTGAGGAACTGCCATACTGTCTTCAATAGTGTTTGTACCATTTTGTATTCCCATTAGCAATGCACAAAACTTCCAGTTTTTTCACATTCTTGCGTTATTTTGCTTTTCTGATAATAGCCATACTAATGGGTATGAAGTACTCAATTTACATTCCCCTAATGATCGGTGATACTGAGCATCTTTTGATACGCTTATAGGCCAGTGATGGCGAACCTTTTGAGCTCGGTGTGTCAGCATTTTGAAAAACCCTAACTCTGGTGCCGTGTCACATATAAAAATTTTTTGATATTTGCAACCATAGTAAAACAAAGATTTATATTTTTGATATTTATTTTATATATTTAAATGCCATTTAACAAAGAAAAATCAACCAAAAAAATGAGTTCGCGTGTCACCTCTGACACGCGTGTCATAGGTTTGCCATCACTGTTATAGGCCATTAGTATATTTTTCGGGAGATATTTATATTCATGTCCTTTCCCATTTTTTAAATTGGGTTGCTTTTGGGTTGTTGACTTGTAATTCTTTACTTATTCTGGGTACTGGATCCTTATTAGATATGTGATTTGCAAATATTTTCACCCATTCTGTGGGTTGCCTTTTTATTCTGTTGATAGTGTCCTTTGATATACAAAAGTTTTTAATTTTGATGAAGTTCAATTTATCTTTTTGTTTTTGTTGCCTGTGCTTCTGGTATCGTAACTAAGAAATCACTGCCAAATCCAACATCATGAAGCCTTTCCTCTAAGTTTTATACTAAAACTAAAGGAAAGGCTGAAGAATCAGTTGTAAATAGTATAAGCTAGATGAAGACTTGAAATGAAATACATCATTCTGAGGGGAAAAAAGACAACATTGCATAAAGAAGATAGAGAAATTTATTGCCACATGAAATTATAAATATAACTCAGATGAATCAGACCAAAAAAATCACTAGATTGACATTAAAATACAATGTACTTTGACCAGATTTGTTTCTTGAAGGCTTCTCTATTGACAGGCACTTCTGTAATTAATTAGTATAATTTGGTATAAACATTTTATGGATAGTTTTAAAGGCCTATAAAAGGATGTTTGTGATTATCCATCATAAACAATAATGGATCTTACATAATGTAAATTTAATTGATGGGTTACATGTTTGAGTTTGTACTGTATCCTAGAAAGATCCTACTTTCTCCACCTTATTTTATAAATATCAAATTGGATATTTTGTTGCTTTGCCAAATTGAGCAAATTGTTAGAACCTGTTTCTTCTATATATATCAAGTGGCATCCACTCAAAATATGGAATCTTCTGCACAAAAACAGCAGAACACATTTTGCCGAAGCTCTTGTTAATGTGGCTGTCAGTTCCTAATTCTCCTCATATACAGCATTTATTTTTAAAAGATTTATCCCTTCACCTACTGTATTTCCTAAGCCTCCTTTGTAGCCCCTCACACCCCAAATTCACCGAAAGGGAAAAAACACTTCCTCCCTCATCCCCTCTGCTGATTATTACTTTAGAGTAGGGGTCAGTAATGGGACGAATAGGAAATATTTTAGGCTTTGCAGCCTGTTTCCTCTGCGGAGCTCTGCTGTGGTACTACAAGAGCCCACTGCAGACAGCAGTACATGATGGGTGTGGCTGCCTAAGGCCCATGGCTCTAGTTTGCCAATCACTGATTTTGATTACCAAATTAAATCTGTGCATATAAAATATATAGCAAGATAAACAATAATTTGGGGCCTAAAAGAAGGTATATAATTTTTCCCTTTTAAAGCCCATTAGGAAAAGCATCGTGTAATACCTGGGAAGCATTCCCCACTTTATATATATTTGCACTGCTTCATTCTTTTCTTACCCTGAGACATTTATTAAGAAAGGGTAACCTGGAGTCCAGTACATAAAACATTTTGGGGATATACATTATTTAAGTAGAAAGTGAGATTACTTCTAGCATTATAGGAACCCCAGCTCCCCACTAAGAATGGCTCCTGGGTAGCAGGCACATGCCTGCAGCATACCCCAATGTTACACGTTAAAGGGCAATAAGTTCTCCCTGGCAGTTGTTGCAGCAATTGAAGGTGATATTTTCGTATCTAGTATAGGGATGAAATCGCCCAATATTTTTCTTTGTAGCAAGTAAGGTGGTTGGTGAAGACTCAGAAAATGGATTATCAGATGAGCTTTCTGAACTGGTAGCTGGGTCCAAAATGTGTAGCACCTGAGGAAAATGAGAAGTGATGTCAGAAGTATGCAGCAGGGACTGTAAACCCCTTGGTTTCATTGAGGTATAACTCCCTATGTAGCTCCATTTCATTAATATGTAACTATCATAAAAATAACATCTGAATAAGGAATTTGATGAGAGAACTTATTCCGTTTCTCAAAAAGCTCTAAATTTAACAATGATGTCTAGTTATTACACTACCTAGTTTACATATTTTTTAAAAATGAAGAAATTGATGTTCTCTTATGGATACTGATGAAAACATAGAAGAAAATAAGATTATATCAATTCTACCTTAAGTTATGTCCATTTTCATCCTAAACCAAAAAGTACCCACTATCTTCTTCCTCTAGTCTTTCATGCAACTGCTTGGAATCAGGAGTCTACCCTGATTCTTCTATTGAAATCCTACTTCACAGTTTCTGATCACTGACTTATAAAAATCAATGGCTTTTCATTTTTCTTTTACTAATTTATATGCAACATTTCATGCTCACCAGCATGTTCTTGTTTTTTGGGTTTCATGGACACCATGCTCCCTAATTGTTCTGCTCTGACTTTCCCTATTCTATTGTTTTACTGAGACCCACAGCAGGAGGAACTCTTGAGTTGAAAAACTTCTCCAATAAGGAATAACATGCTAACGCTGGCTATAGTCCTGTTTCTCGTGTTCATCTTCTCCCGCCTGTCATGGTGTGATGAGGACGGGTTATGGTGGGAGAGAGGGAGGCAGTGCAATTGGAAAGGAATTGAGAACAGCACTGGTTCCATGAGCCAAGGGAAGAGAGTGCTACAAGCAAGAAGGAGCCGTCAGTTCTAGCAAACACTGCTGGCAGCAGCCGCAGAACCAGGGACACAACTTCCCAACGAAGAGAATGGAGAAGGAGAACAGAAAGGTAAAGATGACGGGTTTAGTTTTAGCCACCGATTCATTTAGTAAATAGAGTACCTACTTTGTGCAAAGGATTATACCAGACCTTGAGGACACATCAGAAACAGCCCTCGCCCTTAAAAAGCTTGTAGTTTGGGAGATGGAGAATCAAACAGTTGCAATTTTACATGTTAAAGAGCTATATGTACAAAATGTAATGGAAGCCTGGAGGAGGAAACATCTAGGTTTTCCAGTGAGATTCGGGGAGGGCTGATTCTTCAGATAGAGAGGTGCAGGAAGGATGGTTGAGGCAGAAGGAATAGTATGTATAGGCGGGTGAGACACAATGGCATATCTGTGGAATAACAAGTGTTTAAATACTGGCATGTAAATTGTATGTACGTGTGTGTGTGTGTGGGGGGGGTACACCTGGGAAATGATCCTTGAAAGGAAAAATGGAGTAAAGATTATGAAAATCCTTCTATAAAGAATTCAAACTCAATAAGAGAGGCTGGGAGCTGTTTGAACAGGACATTTGAACACTAACATTGGGGGCGGGGTGGCATTTTTGAAATAACTCTCTGGCAGGTGAAAAGCAAGGCAGGGATATTAGTGAGGAGGCTCTTGCAATAGTCGAGGTTGGAGGTCAGTGGTTGAACTTGGGATAGAGCACAAATTTGAAGGAACTGATAGGACGTGTAAAACCAACAGGATCCGGGGGATGAAGGAAATAATAAAAGTGATAGCTAGCACGATTGAGAAATTACACCACACTGGAGCCTGCTCTGGGATCTATATGCATTCTCTATGGACTCCTCAGAACATCCCTATATAGTAGGTGTAGTTATTAAGACAGGGAGTACTGGTGAGGAAGGGGCTGGCTTTCCTTCTCCTTCCTCTTGGAGGGGGTAGAAGACATGTGCGAAAGCAAGGAGAAAAGTGATTGTTCTATTTTTAGGTGTCTGTGGGACAGACATAGAAATAGCCACCTGGATCTGTCTTTTGAACTAAAAAAAATTCTCAGTTAAAGTCATAAGCAGAAAGCTATGGGATAAGGAGTCTGTTATGTGAGGAAATGCTCAAGAGTGGGCACAGGGAAAGGATGCTCCGTTCCTCAGATCCCAGGAAGAATGGTCACGGAAACAGCAGAGTTATTTGAGAAACCATGGAAGTTTAAGAGCATGGGGAACAGATTCCTATGGAACATCAACACGCAGAGGAGGAGACAAGGTTATGACAAGGAATTCAGTGAGGTAGCATGGAGCCGGGAAAGAGTAACGTCACAGAAGTGACATGTAGTACATAGGACAATAGAGTCATCAAACACTCATGACCTTCGTAAGGTCTTGGAGAACAGTGGAGCTAGAAGTCTACTAGGATAAGTGATGGCGGGAACTGAGGGTGGACGTCCCGTGAGAAACAAGTCAGCTTGTCCAAGGTTCTTGACTGTGAAGGGAAGGTGGTAAGGCCGTCTGCAGAGAACTTAGGGTAGAGGGAGGATGTTTCATTTTAGATGTGAGGTACTTGGGCACATTCTTAAGCCAAAAAAAGAAAGAGCCAACAGAGAGAAGGGATGAGTGTTGGGGGAGCCTGCTGGGGAGCTTTAGAGAGAGGGACACCTTTTCCTGTAGAAGGGACGTATGGAAAGCTGGCTGCCATGCAGACAGGCGCCTAGATATCAAGTGGGACCTTGTGGTGGTTTTCTGCCTCTGCTCCCTTTTTCTTCTGTCTGTGAGGAACCAGTCACCTGCTGATGAGTCTGATGGGTATAGAAACAAAGAAGACAGACAGTTGAACTGACATAGGACTGGAGTCTTCAGGGCACCTGAGAGAAGGATAAGGGACAAAGGCTCTTCGGAATGGAGTCTACATAAGCTATGGCAAGAAAAAGCCAGGAGAGTGAGCTGATGAGATGAAGAAAAACAATGAAGAGATCAAGGGGGACAAAAATGATGATGTGACAAGGAACAGGGTAATCAGAATTAAGGAAGCAGAGCTGGGAAGAAAAGTTGACCACAGGCCAGTGCAAGGTGTTGAGTGGAAGATTTTAAAAGTAGACAGTTCTGGTTAATGGCCAGGACTAAGATGGGAGCTGGGGAGCTAGATATTGAAGTTCAATGAAGTGAACTTGGTTGTGCTCATGGAACTGAGACCACAGTATGTGACAAGTCATCTATGGGAGCCCTACTTCACCCAGGACTATATGTTCCAGGTCTATACTCTATGATTCACATCTTTATGTGAGAATTAACAAATAATTTCTTAAATCAGAAGTAATCTATTATCTACTCATGATTACTAAATGAAAAATTCTACCTGGTAGTTTTCATATTAAAATGAATTCAAGGAAAGGCTAAAAAAATGGGCCCTTTTTCAAAACAATTGCATTTTTCTCTTTAAGAATAGAATAATGATATTCAAGGAAATTAAAGTTCAGAGGAGGAAATGATTTTCTCCAAGATCACAAGCTCAGGTGCATGAGCTCATGTTTAAGTCCCATGTTCCTGAACTCCAGCGCCACCCACTTGCCATTAGAACACGCCATCCTTTAGCAAGAGGTCGCTGTTAGAAGTTCCACAGATCATGCAAGGAATATTTTACCGTTTCAGCCATTTTCTCCGCTGGGGTGCTGCAGAATTCAACAGTTGGCGGAGTCTTTTTTTGACTGTTAGTTCCAACATTTCCCAGAAGATGAGCATTCACCGCTTTTGCCAACTTGTGATTGGTTAGCGCTAGTTCTGCTGTGCTGTGAGGCTGGGTGCTAGGATAGTAAGTCTGCTCTCTTCCCCACTGCAAGGAGACCAGGAGCTCCTCCAGTAAACTGCAGAGAACACGCATGAACACTGAACATTAATAACACAAAACAGAAAAATCAGGAATGCTCAATGCATGAGAAACATATTTCTGAAGTTATATATCTTTCTTTCAGAGTTCAATAAATCAGGAAGTCTGGGAAAAGATTAGATTACAAAAAGCACTTATCAATTTGCTATATTATTATCTGGAAATCTCTTAACAAGCAGTACTTTTTTGTCCTCATATTCTAGAATAGGTAAAATATACTAGTATATCATTCAGTTGTACAGAACTACTGATTTGATTTATGCATCTATTCATATGGTATTTCCTTTCTGGTGAGTTGCATTAATTAATTTTTGAATGACATATTACCTACAATTCCTGGGCTAAAATTTACTTGGACATGATGTATAAATCTTTTTATACAGTCATGCTCCACTAAACGATGGGTATATCTTCTGAGAAATGCATCGTTAGACAATTTCATCATTGTGTGAACATCACAGAGTGCACTACACACACCTAGATAAGCACACCTGGGCTGTCTGGGACAGCCTATTGCTCCTGGGCTACAAACTCGTATAGCAGGTTACTATACACAAGTATGTCAAACTCGTGGCCGGCAGGCTACGTGCTGTGGGTCTGACATGCTTGCTGTACAACATGAGATTAAGCAAGCGCAAGAGAAATTGATGCAATCCAGAGACACTGGATGGAGGAGGCTGCTGCTGGGATAACATGGTGCACTATCTTGTTGTTTTTTGTAAGTGGAAGAGTGCACTCTAAAATAATGACAAATAGTATAGGAAATACATAAACCAGTAACACAGGTATTTGTGATCACCAGGTTTAGGGGCTGTACATATTTTATGTGCTAAGCTTCCATATGGCTGGCAGTGCTTTAGGTTGGTTTTCACCAGCATCACCACAAGCACGCAGCCAACCTCAGGATGACTATGTCACCAGGTGATAGGAGTTTTTAGCTCCATTATAATCTTATGGGACCACCATAGGTCTGTCACTGACCAAAACATCTTTATGCAGCACATGACTGTATATGGTTGGATTTGATACATTAAAATTCTGTGAAGGATTTTTGCAACTATGTGATGAGAACTACTGGTCTATAGTTTTCTTGCAATGTCTCTGTCTGGTTTGGTATCAAGATAATGCTGTCCTCGTATAATGAGTTGGAAATTGTTCCCTACTTCTCTATTTCCTAGAAGAGTTTGTGTAAATTTGGCTTTATTTCTTCCTTACATGTTTGCTAGTATTCACCAGTGAACCCCTCTAGGCCTGGACTTTCATTTACTGGAAGGTTTTTCATTACAAATACAGCTGTCTTATAGGTTATGCCATTCAGATTATCTGTTCTTGATACTCTTAGGTAGTTTGTGCATTTTAAGGAGTTTGTCCATTTCATTTAAGCTGTTGAACTTATTGGCATAGAGCTGTTCACAACATCCCCCTGTAATATATACACTAGTGTCCCAGTGCACGGGTTCGTGCACATTGAAAGGAAATTAATTAGAAGAAATATTTTAATATCGCTATCCATGTCTTGCTAATGAAAAGAAAATAGGATTCTACCAAGTCTCCCATCTACTTACTCCAGGACTTCTGTAAGGATCAAATGAGATGAGGCATGGGAAAACGCTTACAAACATTTGATTAAACTGTAAAATATTTGCACTTGGCTATAAAGCAAGTCGGGTTCCTGGGCTGAAGAAACTCCAAGGATGTTAGTCGCTAGGGAGAAGAAGCTGGGCATTGCTACATGACGTCATTACCCGGCGCCCACAGCCACCGTTTTTGGGCTGGGCTGGGCTGTGGGCCACATTTTGCACCATGGGATCTTGGCAGTGTTGGCTGCAATTTGGTGGGCTGTCGCTCCAGGGTGGTGGCGGGCCTGTGTCCTACTAGGGGGAAGCTGAGTGTTGGTTTGTCAGCGCTAGCTCCGTAGTACCATTTATTTTTAAATGGCCAGTGTGCATCTGCCCCCTGGTGGTCAGTGCGCGTCATAGCTGCCGGTAGGATGGATGGACACCTAGCCTTTGTGGGGAATCAAACCCAAGACCCTTTGGTGTGCTGGCTGATGCTCCCACCACTGAGCACCACTGGCCAGGCACCCTGTTATCTTTTTTTGTTTATAGAATCTGTAGTGAAGCCTCCTCCTCCTCATTCCTGATATTGGTCATGTATATCTTTTTCCCTGATTATACTGAGGTTTCTTAATTTTATCTTTTCAAAGAAGCTGCATTTGGCTTTCTATTTCATTTATTTCTGCTCTCATCCTATTGTTTTCTTCTTTTGCTTAATTTGCTCTTTTTATTCCTTAAGGAGAAAGCGTAGATTACTGACGAGACCTTTCTTCTTTTCTCAGATAAGCATTTAAAGTCATAAATTTTCCTCTAAACATTGTGTTAGTTGCCTCCCACAAAATCTGATATTTTGATATATTGCATTTTCATTCTTCCAATTTCCCCTGTGGTTTCCTCTTTGGCCTGTGCTGATTTGATTTCCAATAAATCAACGATGTAGAAGTACAAAGCGCTTTGGAGGGAGACCACCGATTTTGCCAGTTCTGGGGCACGTGGACATGAAAGCAAGCTCAAACACTGCAGAGTGGTCCTCAAAAAGACCTCCTTCCGAAGGACAAGTACACGCTTTGGCTTCTACCAAAAGCTACACAGAAGTGCAACAAAGATAATAAAAACTGACTTTTAAGTCCAGAGAGTTCTATGATAAATATAACTAATTCTCTCCAGTTAAGAATGTAAGCCGCAGATCTTCTGTTCTTTTAGCCATCCTCCTTCTCCTGGGCGTCTGTTTGAAATGCTACTCAAGTATATACTCAACAAGCTATAAATGCAGCAACACTGCAGAACCGCCGTGTGCTGGGAACCGCGGGAGCGCAGAAGAGTCTGGAGGTGAAAGGGCCATACCTGTGGGTGGCTTTCATCCCCTGGCGCAGCTGCTCCCGCTCGCTCAGGAGGTCCTGGAGGGCGCCCTGCACGTCCCGGTGCTGCCGCTGCAGAACTGCCCTGGAGTTGGTTAACTCGTCTGCCATGACCCTGGAAGAGATGAAAATCTCACCTATAAATTCTCCGACGACAACACAGTGCAAAGAAGTTAATATATGACCTTGGCGACTGTCATTTTCAAAAGCTTACAAAGAATATGTGACAGATATATTCTCAGTGTTTCAATCTTCACTAAGAAGCATTTAAAATGTTTATAAGCTGAGAACTCACTGAAGGGATTCAATTAAAATATTTACAAAATGACAAAAGGAAATGGACTTTCCTTATATATAGTGACTTCTGGAATGTTCTTCAATCTTACTTCAGATTGACCAAATTTTGGAAAAAATAACATTAATCAAATATTTTAAATATAAAACAGTTTAGAGGAAAACAAAAATGCATTATTTTCCTGCTATCCAATTACCTCTTTGCCCTCAGAAGAACATTAAAATAATGTAAAAAGGCTTCCACACGGGAAAACGAAGCCTTCCCTCCTGTCCAGGGTCCCATCCTTCTTTTACATGTAACCAGTACAGTTCCTTATACATTTTTCCAGAAAAACATTTATGCATATTCAACATAAAACTATGGGTTAAAATAAATATATTTTTCACTTACAAAAAGGGGTTATTTAATATAAACTTTTCTATACTTTGCTTTTTTCACCTAATAGTTTATCTTGGTGAGTTTTTAGTATCAGCACATATAGAGCTATCTCATCCCCCTTTTTAAAAATAAAGCTTCACGTTTTCTTCTGATTGGATGTACCAAAGTTTATTTAATCAGTTCCCTATTAATGGCACTGAAGCAAATTTTAAGTATGTTTAATCAGTGGAAAATCTTAAAACTAAAATTAAAGTCTCAAATCATAGCAACAACTAAATTCCTTAAAATAAAAAAACTTTTCACAATGAATGATTAAATAAACTAAAATGTCACTAAAGTATACTCTCTATTGCCCTAAGAATGTTATTGTCATTTTTGATCAGGATGTTAAAAAAAGTTACATATTACAATAATCTGTTGTCTCTTAAACTGTTCAAGGAGAATTAATTAACTTTCATTCTAAGACAATAAGCAGTACATTCATTTCTCCAAACAGCATCCTATACTGTCATTTTCAAAAACTTGCAAAGAATATTTAACATAGTCAAATTAGAAAACAAAATAAGGACTTTACGAGAGTAGTCAATTACTAGAAGGTAGCACAGATATTAAGACATGAAGAAACATTTTCTTGAAAATTTATTCATCACAATTGTGGTTCTTAGAGTACAGCCTGAGAACCTCTGGGGCTTTGTGAGATATCGCCAGATGATTGGATGTGAATCAACAGTTATTACTAGGAAGCATATTGCGTGTAAAACACTGGCTAAGCACGGAGAATACACAGTTGGATAACTCCCAGACCCCATTCTCCAGTAACACAACATTGGAAGGAGAATGGGATCTATATAAAAGCCTAAGTGACCAGCCGACCAGCCGGTAGCTATGACGTGCACTGACCACCAGGAGGCAGATGCTCAATGCAGGAGCTGCTGAGTGACAGAAACTTTGCAGAGTACCCTCTCGCACTCCGGAACCCCTTGGGGGATGTTGGACTGCCGGTTTTGCCCTGATCCCCGCAGGTCAGGCTGAGGGACCCCACTGGTGCACGAATCCGTGCACCAAGCCTCTAGTAAATAGATAAAGAATCACAATTTCTTGCCGTTTCCCAACTATCAGTGTGTCCAATGGCCTGTTGGAGTGCAGCCTCATCCGATATGCATACATATGCCATCCTTCTCTATTTGTGCAAAGAGAGAAAACGGCTGGGAAGCTCTATTATATATTAACTACTATGAGAACAAGCATGAAGGACAAAAAATACTATCTTACAGAGTGGCAATGACATGAGTTCTCCAGAAAAATAATTTAGTTTTTTATTGTGATTTTAATATTTACTAGATGTCTGAATTGACAATTTTGTTTCGGTATTAAATATTATAGTGGGAGTGATTTCTACTATAGAGTAGTACCTAGAATTCTGGAATGAGGGAGGATCCTTATATCTCTTCTCCCTTTAGGGACTCTGTGCTTCCATCCCAGGAGTGAGAGTCCACATATTAAATAATATATGAGCAACCTGACTCAGAGTTTGTCAGTCTACAATTGACTTTCTTGTCTTATGGGTCAAAAGGCTAATAGATCAAAACTAGAAAATGGAAAACTATTTAAAGCAGAACATACCTGCTCGCGAGGAATTTGCTTCTCCACACGTCACACTGTATTGACATTCGTTCTAACTGCTCGGCAAGCTGAGCTGTGTTCTGACCTAGGGCTTCATTTTCTAAAATAAGCTGATTTTTCTCACGGGCTAGACGTTCAAAGTGATACTGAAGATCATCACCAACTGAAGCCACCAGCAGCTTTTTTAACTCACGATTGACCTAGAAAAACACACAACAATGTAACACGCTCAGGGGCGTGTCAGTGACTACAATGTACAGAATGAACAAAAGAGAAACTGTTCTGCGTAATTTGAACCTCCATTAATTAAAGATCAAACAGTGACATTAAATATCTAAGTGTCATGATATACCATATTAACCAAACCTACTTCTATCTTTATAGCCCAGGTGGTTATAAACTGAGCCTCTTATAACAAGAGCACAAGTTATTATCATAAAATAACAAACTGCTCCCAGTCAACACTTAAAGGGGAAAAATTAGAAAACTAAACAGTGAGTTTTGTTAAAAAATGACAGAGAATTTAAAAATATATATATTTTTAAATTTATTTTTAGAAAGAGAGGGAAAGGAGTAGAGAGATAGAAACATCAATCGAGAAATATCAACAATCAGCTGCCTCTTGCAGGCCCCCTACTGGGGATCCAGCCTGAACCTCTTGGTTCCTGGGTGGAGCCACAAAGGCCAGTGGACAGAGAATGTTTTATGTGTGTGTTTTTAAATCTTATCTAACATTTAAAAAATAATTTCTTTGTGCCCTACGATTTTTCCTTTTAAGAATTTAAGTAAAGGAAGAAATTCAGGATTCTCTACAAGCACATCCTTTACATTAATATTCAAAACCCAGAAGTCAAAAATATAAATGTCCAATCACAGGTATTGGTTTATGGTGCAGGCACTGAAGAACTGTGGCTTTTGTAATAGAATATTCTGTGACATAAGAAGACGTTAACTAAGGTGGCACTATTTGTAATAGAACATTCTTGACATAGGAAAACATTAACATCTAAGATGGCACTATTTTCATTGTTTTTGTATTCAAATCGTTTACAAATACTTTTATAATTAGAAATTAGTTCTTAAAAATATATTAAAATACATTTGGGTAAGAACCACTAACCAGTGTCACAAAGACTAAGGGGAAAAGTGGAGGCTAAGGCAATGTTAACTGTGATGAAAAGATTAAAGAAACACAATCAAACATTATAGATTGTTTCCATTTACAGTGACGAGAACAATACGTATCCTACCATTCTCTATATTCCAAGCATTATGTATACATAGGTAAAAATACTTGGAATTCATGGATCCTTAAAACAGGATTCACTAACAAGTCAGTTTCATAGCCTGAGTTGGCCAGTCTTTGGTCTGAAAGTTTACAACTGTAACCTCCTCTTACAACTTACAGGCGTCCAAAGGCCCTCACTCTTCCCTCTTCAGTGTGTGTTAGAGCATAAGTTCCCGACGTAAACTAGTTCTATACGAGGCCCTGAGAGTGTGAAATGTAAGAGGAAGCATCTAGAGCAGTGGTTCTCAACCTTCCTAATGCCGCGACCCTTTAATACAGTTCCTCATGTTGTGGTGACCCCCAACCATAAAATTATTTTCGTTGCTACTTCATAACTGTAATTTTGCTACTGTTATGAATCGTAATGTAAATATCTGGTATGCAGGATGTATTTTCATTGTTACAAATTGAACATAGTTAAAGCATAGTGATTAATCACAAAAACAATATGTAATTATATATGTGTTTTCCGATGGTCTTAGGCGACCCCTGTGAAAGGGTCGTTCAACCCCCAAAGGGTCTCGACCCACAGGTGAGAACCGCTGATCTAGAGAGTGATGAGCTGTAGTGAGTGGCACCTGCTTTCCCAGGAGGAATGGGGTTTCTAACTCGCAGGCTCAGGGCCAGGTGTGGCCAGCACCACTGCAGCCCGGCCGGTCCTTACCTCCGTCTGCACACGGAGCTGGTTGGAAAGGCCCTCTCGGTCCTGCAGCAGCCTCCTTTCCGAGTTCCTGAGCTTCTCCAGGGTGCTCTTCACCTCTGCGAGCTCCTTCCTGGGCTCTGCAGCCCCCTCGGACTGACCAGAGAGCTCCCCTTTCTGACGTCCGAGAGGCTTAACCTTGGCATTTTTGTTGGGGACAACGTGGGTTATAGCAGCTTTGGGAACCAATATTCTTATAGCTTCGACTTCCACCGCTTTCTCAGTGAGGATCTTGCCCAGCTGCAGGACTCCGGGGCTCTCTGAGGCGACTGCTTTCCTTCGTGGACTCGGAAGGGCGTGGGGCTTTACAGGTTGGACTCCAGAGGTGACTTCAACAGACTTAGGTGGCTCCTCCGTTTCCATTCCATCTCCTGCTCCTCGGATTGGGGTTGAAGTCAGGGTGACTGAAAAAGGGAGCACAAAACATAAACTACTTACTGAAAAGAAGTACCAGGAAAATGCCAAGACACGTCAGAATTACTACATCAGAATTACTGGCATTTACAGAATGGAAATATTCAGACTGAAAGTAATTTTCAAAACAATCGTGTGTCAAAGAAAGATGAACCATGCCCTACTGGTTCAAGCTTCCCTTATGTAAATGGTTTCTCTCTCTCGGTAGGAAATGCAGATTTGGAATCAGGGTGTTTGGTTCTGACCTCTACTTCCCTAGGAAAATCACTTAGCCCTCCATGAACCTCAGTGTCCTAACCTGCAAAATGGAGACAATGACAGTTGTGCTGCAGGTTGTGGTAAACAAGAACACAGTAAGATCAAGAGCCTGGCACACCTACACACGCAATAATGTCAGCTAACTATAAAAAATAAATGTCAGCTATCTATATGCATATTTGAAAACATCTACTTCAAAAGAGATTTATCTGTTGTCTGAACTCTTGGAAAGAATGCTTCCCACAAACTACCCAACTGGACTATCCAATGCTTTCTCCCAGGCCTCTAATCCCTGTTCCCGCTGTCTTATTCTCCTAAGTGGCTTCTTTGGCCCTCACTGTGGCTCTCGGTTACCCCTAAGAAGTCAGCTTTAATCCACGCTTCACATTCAATCTTCCCGATTGTTCCGGCCCACTCTCTGAAGAACACCCATGGCACTTACTGTCTCAAACATTCAGTTTGAAACTCAATCATGAACCAACATGATCATTTTAAGGGTTTTGTACAGGCTATTTTCTCGTTCCCAGTAAGTCTGATAAGCACATTAAGAGCAGACATTATGCCCCATACAAGTGGAAGGAACATGGTGCAATAGATATGATAGGACTTTGGGGATCAGCCAGATCTGGTTTGAATTCCTTTCCACTGTTACTGTCTGGACAAAATCCTATAATGATCTCAGCTTCAGTTTTAACTTCCTTGGGATTAATTTAATAATATTTACATCTACGTAGTATTAAATCTGAATTTTAAATGAGAAAATATTAAGTAACAGGTAACCAACACTTACAAAAGACTTACCATGTGCCAAATACCATTCTAAATACTTTACATAGAACTCTTGTAATCCTTACATAACCCTGTGAGTAGTGCGATTAGCTCTATTTTATACATGAGGAACATGAGGCACAAGGCGGTCCAGCAACTTGCCCAAGGTCACACCACACAGCTAATAAGAGGCAGAAGTGAATTCTAAGTAGTCTGTTCACAAAGACGGGGGCCTTCCCCACTGCATATACTGCCTCTTCCAGTGTCCCGAAGTTCAAGTTCAGGTATAAAGTAAATAGCAGGCATTCAATAAATAGTAGCACCCATCCCTTTCCTCCATAATGCTTAGTGCACTACTGCACACGTTTACCAAACTAATTTGCTCAACGGAAAAAAATTACCTTCCCTCATGTAAGCAAGAAGGCAGCTCTGCTCACCAGTACGCTGCCACTGCTCCAGTCAGTAACAAACAGATTTGTTTCTTCCGCCCGTGGTCTTACCGCCAGTGGAGCAGTAAGAAAAGTGTCAGAGTCACTTTTCTCCAAGAGAGGGCTCCTTCATTGACTCAGGCAGAAAGTGGTTTAGGGCTGAGGAAGACGGAGGGTGTGCTAGAACAGGACGTGCTGCAGACCTTGAGGAGGTAACTCAGGTGACACCTAACCTACACGGAGCTCGTGAACTCATGCGTAGCATCCCTTTGAGCTACACCTTAGATTTCCTGCCATTTGACAAGTCCAGCACACATTGGAGAAATGGAAGGCAAAGCCCACAAATGTAATAATTAACCTTTATTCAACTTACTATGTGTGAAGGGCTTCTCCACGTCCTTCAGATGCGTGACATTTAATTTTTACACCTGTCTCATGAGGTAAGCACAACATACACATTTTGTAGACAGAAACAGGGGCTTTGAGAAGTTGCACAGCTTGTCCAAATCATCTGTGTCAGACTGGGATCTGAATCCAAATCTGACTCCAGAGTAAGCTGTTAACTGGCCCAGGAGGCATCCACAAACCACAACTATTGCCTCAATCAACCCGAAGTTAGTCTCTGCTAAGGACGCTACCTGGCAGACCACGGGAGCCCACAGAATTTATGACAGTTATAGTGAGCTTTCAAAATCGCGCAGAGCCGATCTGCATCAAACCCCGAATGGCCTCCCGTCTCTCTCAGAACAAACCAAGATCCTTAGCATGGCCTGCCCAGCTCTCCGAGACCTGGCCCTGCCTGTCTGCTGGGCTCCACTTCTGCCATTCACCCCCCAGACTCTGGATTCCAGCCTGACTTGCTTTTTGGAGGGGTCTCAATAGCAGCAAATGTCTGCCTTCCTCTCCAGACATTTCTCTGCTTGGAATATTCTTCCTAACACCGCCCCCCCCCCCTTGCAGCAAGTTCCTACCCACCCCTCAAATCTCAGTTCAACCCTTCTTCCTAAGGATCTCTGTCCAATGCAAATCTAATTATCACTGAGACACCTGGCATTTAAGAAGTAATGTAGAATCAAGAATTAACTACAGATTTTTTTTTTTTTAAAAAAAGAAACTAGCCCAGCTGGCGTGGCTCAGTGGTTGAGCACTGACCTATGAACCAGGAGTTCACGGTTCGATTCTGGTCGGGGCACTTGCCTAGGTTGCGGGCTTGAACCCCAGTGGAGGGTGTGCAGGAGGCAGCCGGTCAATGATCCGCTCTCATCATTGATGTTTCTACCTCTCTCTCCCTCTCCTTTCCTCTCTGAAATCAGTAAAATACATATATTTTTTTTAAAAAAAAGGAAACTAGGGCTTTACATTCAGGCCCGCTGAAGCTTAACAGAAATCTCCTTTCAAACAAAATATGTTCAAGTTCCAATCAAATTCAAACAACTTGGTTCAACCACAGTTTACTCTTAGCTGCATTTAAACTGTCCTACTTACTCAAGGGCTTAGGAGAGCCAAGTTGTACTGTGTGCCACGTGACGGCTCCCTCTCTGTAATGGCGACGATGCCAGCCCACAGGCACGCACCAGCAGGCACATGGGTCAGGGCTTCCTCTTTCCTCACCTGGAAGCTCACCTTTCATAGTTGTGTTTTTCTCATGACACACATAGAAACCTTTATTACACATGCACTGGCACAAGCCAGGACACATTCATGAGCAATTACCTTCTCCCAAGTGGGAGGACCATGATGTGTGTGGTACCAGCTCCGTAATTATGAGCAATGCTTACATAAGGCAAAACATCACCCCTGTCCTTCTCCACTCTTTGAAGGGAACTAACCAAATAATTCAGTTGTGCAGCAACAGTATTTCCATCTGTGATCATTTATCAAAGATTAAAACATATCTGAGGTTTCTGGCTCATTCTTATTGTCTTCCTCAAGGATGCTGAAAGGCAGGGAAAGAACAAATGATAGGGGTTGGCAAACTGTTCCTGTAAAGGGCCAGATAATAAATATTTTAAGCTGTTCGGACCATGAGACAAAGTTGGCATATTATGTAGGTACTTATAAAAGAAGAGGGAAAAAAAACCCCAAAATTTTATACATGAAATTCAAACTAATCATTGAATAATTTTTTTAATATAGGTCTAATAATGAGAAGAACAGAATTCTTTTTTATTTGGGATAACACTTGGCTTAAGTGGGATCAGGTAGTGCTCCCTATTATCAAACTGATTGCAAATGTTCTCAGGAGTCTCAAGGCCCTAATTTTCAACCCTGCCCTAGAATACCGAGGCAAAAATAATATGACTTTGTAGTTTGTTATAAAACATTTCTCCTTTTCTCATAAAAGTGCAAATCTATGAAGACAGACACCTTAAGTCAGCATGATGGTGCGATAGAACACCAGCCGCTGAGTCAAAATAACTCCAGTCCCTCCTGCCACAGACTGTGTGACCTGGGGCAAATCCCTGACCTTTCCCCTCCTCCCCGCTCAGTGCTTCCAGAGTAACGCAAACACCAGCGTGTCTTCAAATCACTGCTTTCCCTGCGGACGAGAGTGCTGGGAGCTCGTCAGGCTGGGCTGCCTCCTAGCCTTTGTCTCCTCAGCTTCCGGAGATGTGCTTGGCACAGAAGATGGAGTGGTGCTTCCTGAAGTTCACTGATGTTAACACACACCCTAGAGGATTTCGCGCTAACAGCCAGTAACTAGCTCATCCTAAAACTGCTTAATTTTTGTCCCCTCGCCACTAAATCATTAGTGAAAGACTCAGCTACAGTCCGAACACAGATGATCCCCAGGCCTCTATGAGATCTACTCTTCTGGCTCAAACATGCCTTTGCCCTATCATCATAAACGTCATGGTTTAAAAACAATTATCATCGAAAGAAGACTTACCTTTAGTTTGTAAACTCTCAAGAGTAGTCATTTTTAATCAATGAAAATGCACCCCAAGACTTCTACTGAATAACCTAAAAATGTATAAAATGAAAGAATTAAAACAATACTGTATAAATACATTTACTAAGTAATACCCCGAAACTTAATTATATTCTACTTACTTTTGTATTTAGTAACATGCATTTAGAAAGGGAGTATCCCTCACACCCCTTTTTTAACAGGTGGTATTGTTAAAGCTACCAAATCTCTCTCTCTCTCTCTCTCTCTCTCTCTCTCTCTCTTTCTCTCTCTCTCTCACACACACACACACACAAAATCAGGCAGGGGTGGTATTTCTGTCACTGTCCTCACCAGGATACTCTAAATTACTGGATGTGTGTCCTGAATTTCAGTTCAGAAATAGCACATAAGCTATTACAGAGGCTCTTGCATCATTGACATAACAACTGGAAATTTAAAGTAATTAGTGCCAGCACACATTGGCACTAATGTGTTCACTTTGTATATCAGAGCTTCTATTTAGATGTTTAACAAACAACACAAATATTCATGATGGCTCACTTTGCACTTCCTCAGAAATAAAATTAAAGTGGCATAGCATGGACTCTCAGAAATGTGTGCGTGGCCGCAAAGTATCGACGAAGAGTCACTGCAGAACACGAGAGGGAGGCGGTAGGAACGCGATGTTAGTAATCGATGGTGAACGGCTCAGGAGGGCGGCTGGTTTCCCACAGCAGCCATCACCCCGAGGACTCGGCACCGGGGCTCCGGGACTCGCTTCCCCGGCAAACACCACCTCCTTCTACTGCCCCGAAAACGGGTCTCAAAGTGCCTTCGAGGGCGCAAGCGGCCCGCCAACCGCGCTGGGAAGATGCTGCGAGATGGACAAGCATCGCAAGCGCCTGCGGGCAAATCCGCGTGAAGGGACGGCGGCGGCGGGGCGGGGGGGAGTGGGTAACAGGCGACCCGTAAGGAGGCCACACGCCTGTCAACCTCTGCCGTCCCGGGTGGTCGTACCCGAAGTTCCGACCCGGTCCAGCCTTAGACCCAAAGGCGTGGACACCAAACTCCAGCCCAGACTCCGTCACTGTCAACGTCCCCCTGGTCCCACCGGCCCGTGCTTGGACGTACCTCTGAGACTCTCACTCCTCCCCAGCGGGCTCTCCGGTCCGGGGGCTCGGCGCGAAGTCCTGGGGTAACTTCTCCGCAGTCAGGCCCCTTCCATTCCCAGCCGCCCGCCGGCCTTCGCGACAGCGACTTCCCGCTCCCTCCTGTCACTTCCGATCGATTACTCAGGGTTTCGTTTCCGGAATACGTTTCCAAACAAACAGGTAAACATACCTGTCGTGCGTTTAAACTCAATTAACGCAGACCAGACGATGTAGGCTTCAGTGAGTGAAAACTGGACAGATCCTTATTTTAAAATAAACTAGAGAATATTTGGACCCTAGCCGGATACTGGCTTGAACTTCCGGGTCACCTGTCAACGAAACGGAAGTGATGACGCTGGAAAGACCCAGGCCACGGTGTCCTGGGCTGCGAACGTCGACTGGGTGGGCGGAGCTTTGGTTACTCCCAGCCAATAGGGACGAGGGAGAGGGGCCGCGGCCGCTACGCGGCGTCCTGCAGGGGGCGGGGCTCCGTTGCCAGGGTAACCGGGCGTCGGTGTCGGAGCTGGTGTCTTCCTGTGGCAGTGCTACGGGTTTCTTTGTGCTGAGCTCCTATGGTGAGTGCCAGCCGAGGCCAGAGAATGGTTCCGGGGTCCTGGTGTCTCAGGGTCCCCGGTCCTGGGGCGGGTGCGCACTCGGGGCGTCCCTGGCCCTTGCACCTTCGCCCCGTCGTCTCTTTGGGGCTGCTGAGCCCCTAGACTAGTAATGCAACAGGAAGTGTAGGGTGAGACACTGACCCTGACAGCCTGAGGTGAAGCATCATTCCGGACAAACGCTTTAAATGTTTGCATGTTCCTCGTTGCATTTTTCAAGCTCTCGGCTCCACCTCAGCGCGCTCCATCTCAGAGGATGCGGTGGTGTGCACGTGGCTGCTCCCGTCTCCCCATCTGAGTCTTTGCCCCCCGAGAGGCGGAGCGCTGTCCGTCTGTTCGCAGCGGGTCTCAGGGCCACCTCCCAATGGCCCGCGGATTCCTGCTGGCTCCGCGCTTTTCCACATGGGAGACGCGCTCGCTGGAGCCTCGCCCCCAGGAATTCTGAGTTAATAGGACCAGGGCTCGGGGTTTGCCTTTTTAAAAGCCTGCAGGTGATTTTAATCCATTCATCTGTTTGAGAGCGCCGCGGTTCTACTTAACTCACGTAATTTCAAACCCTTTAAACATCTGTGAATAACGGACTGCAGGTGACAGTCTAACAGCCAATTTCTTCACCCTCGTGCCCCAACCTACACATTGATCTGTATTTCTGTCCACGATGCAGCCTGGTGTTTCCAGTTTAGAGAAATGTGTTGAAGGATAACACATCCATCTTTCCCTTAGATCTCATTCCCTCCCATTCATGACAAGACTTTTTGCTTTTCTATTTTTTTCCTGTGATTTTAGCCTTTTCCTCTCCACTTCCTTCTCCTCAGTGTTAGAATCACATCTTTATTTTTATTTTTTATTTTTATTTTTTTTTACTTAAAGCATTACAAAGCGTATTACATATGTCTCCTTTTTTCCCCCGCCCTTGACAATCCCCTGGCCTCCCCTACCCCCCACTGTCTTATGTCCATTGGTTATGCTTATATGCATGCATATAAGTCCTTCGGTTGATCTCTTACCCCCCACTTCTGCCCCCCTACCCTCCCCGGCCTTCCCGCTGCAGTTTGACAGTTTGTTTGAGGCAGCACTGCCTCTGTATCTATTTTTGTTCATAAGTTTATAATGGTTTTTATTATCCATGAATGAGAGAATCACATCTTTAGAAAATGAAATAAAACAAAAACCCACCCTCCATTCTGTGCTTCTCCGCAGTTCTTCTGCTTATCTATCAGCAAACTGCGTGAAAGCCTCGTGTCTTTGCTTCCACTCCCGCCTCTTCACTTCCAGCCTCGGTATTCTGCTTTCTTACTTCCTGTCTAAAGGCTTAGTGATGCTTCTCTGGCTTAAGTTTCTAATGGCCTTGTTAGTGCTAAATCTGGCAATTACTCCTCAAAGTTTACTTCGGCTGCTGTGACCGAAACTCATGGTCATCCATTCCCTCTCCCCGCCCACCCCCACTGGCTTCGCCTGCTTTTTCAATGCCATTCTCTGGGACTCGCTCCTTAATTAATTCACTCCACAGTCTATGGATTTTCCGTGGGTGACTTCATGCACACACATGAGTTCTCCTAGTGCCTGAGCTTCCATTCCCCAGTTTCGGTTCCATCTCAGACCTGCTGGGGCCTAACCTAGGTGTTTCCTGACCATCTCGACCTGGTTACCACAAAGGCCCCTCAGCCTCATTCTGACCAAAACTGAACTTGGTCTCTTTTCTCCTGGTTTCTCTTATTTCCCCAAGAAAATGAATGGTAGCTACCACCATATTGTCACCTACACCAGGAACCAGGGCTAGCCTGCATTCCTCCCTCTCCCATGTCTCCCTTACCCAGCTGGTCAGCAATTCCTGTTTAGTTGAAGACAGCATTTCTTGCCGGGACTCTTGTAGCAGTGTCTTTAACCATCTGGTCTGACAATTCCCCAATGCATTATTTTCTTTGGCATGAGAAGGGATTTTCTAGAACCCAAATCTGTTGATGTTACGCACCTCTTTACAACTCTAGACTCCCCATTCCCTAGGGCAGTGGTCGGCAAACTCATTAGTCAACAGAGCCAAATATCAACAGTACAACAATTGAAATTTCTTTTGAGAGCCAAATTTTTTAAACTTAAACTATATAGGTAGGTACATTGTTATTAACTTAATTAGGGTACTCCTAAGGCTTAGGAAGAGCCACACTCAAGGGGCCAAAGAGCCGCGTGGCTCTTTGGCCTCTTGAGTGTGGCTCTTCCACAAAATACCACGTGCGGGTGCGGCACGTGCAGTACGATGAAACTCCGTGGCCCATGCACAGAAGTCAGTATTTTGTGGAAGAGCCACACTCAAGGGGCCAAAGAGCCGCCTGTGGCTCACGAGCTGCAGTTTGGTGACCACTGGCTTAAACCATATTAAACACTTAGATATTTGCTGAGTGAATCCTATCTAATAAAGAGGGAATATGCTAATTGACTGCCACACCCTCAAAGATGGCGGAGCCCACAGCCAATAAGGAGGGAATATGCTAATTGACTGCCACCCCCTCAAAGATGGCGGCGCCCAGGCCCTCAGCCCCACTGGGTGGGCCCGGCTGCTCCTCACGCCTGCCTCTGGAGTCCCCCCAGTCCCCTCAGCCCCCCAGATGCCCAGGGCTGCTTGAGGCTCAGGTAACCAGGGCCGGCCGAGGCTTGCACTGCCGGCAGTGGCAGCAGCCGAGGTGTGATGGGGCATCGCCTTCCCCTGATCGCCAGGTCGCCTCCCGCCCCTGAGGGCTCCCAGACTGTGAGAGGGGGCAGGCCAAGCTGACGGACCCCCCTCCTGTGCATGAATTTTCATGCTCCGGGCCTCTAGTAACAAATAAGACTGTGGTAAGTGATCTGAGGGCACTCTGAGGGTCCAGAGTACTGGGGATATTGGAGGATGGCATCCTCACTTCTCAAAGTCAGAAAAGCCATCCTGAAGCAAATGGAGTCAGTTTCAGCAGCGAGAGCTCAGTGTCCCACGGGCGTGATGGCCCAGGGAGGTGGAGAGCGACATTTGTAGGGAACTGGGTTTTTTTGTGTCTGTGCCTTACATTTTGTCGTTCCGACTTCCCCTCATCCTCTGCCTTGGCTGGAGTTGTGTCTGTGGCTCCTCCCACTGGGTGGTCCGTGAAGGCCCCGCTGAGGAAGGGGCTTCTGTCCTGAGGCCTGAATGATGAAGTGCAGTGATCTGGGGAAAGGCTCCAGGCAGCACTAATGAGATTAAAGGCCCTGAGGCAGCATGTTTCAGGAACTGACCTACGGTTTAATGTACAAAACAAACAAACAGAGTAGAAGTTAGGTGATGGCTGGCAGCAGTAGGGAAGCGTGGTAGAGAATGGCATGAGATGTGATTAGAGAGGTAGGCAGAGGACACTGTGAGTCCTACAACAGTGTTTCTAAAATTGTAGGTTGTGCCCTAGCTGGTTGCTCAGTGGTTAGAGGGTCAGCCTGCGGACTGAAGGGTCCCAGGTTCAATTCTGGTCAAGGGCATGTACCTCAGTTGTAGGCTCGATCCCTAGCCCCGTCTGAGCGCTTGTGGAAGGCAACCAATCAATATGTCTCTCTCACATTGATATTTATTTCTTTCTGTTTCTCCCCGCGCCCCTTCCACTCTCTCTAAAAATTAATAGAGAAAAAATATTCTCAAGTGAGGATTAACAAAAAAATAAAAATAAAATAAAATTGTAGGTTGTAACCCATCATTCCATCATGAAGTCGACTTGTGGTATGTAGCCAGCTTTAAAAAAGAAGACAGCATAAAATAGACATCGTATTCATTGCACCTAGTAAGGGTAACTTTGATGAAACTTTTATTTAAAATTTGTGCATTGTGTCTACTGGGTTCTGATGTAAAATATATTTCATGCTATAAGTCACCATACACAAAGTTCAAGTTATAGTATACTGTGAAATATATATATATATACACACACACATATATACACTAGAGGCCCGGTGCACAAAAATTTGTGCACTTGGGGGGGTAGGGGGGTCCCCCAGCCCAGCCTGTGCCCTCTCGCAGTCTGGGACCCATCGGGAGATAACGACCTGCTGGCTTAGTCCTGCTCCCGGGTGGCAGAGGGCATGCCCAATCCCTAGGTGCAGCCCCTGGTCAGGCTCAGAGCAGGGCCGATTGGGGAGTTGGGGCGCCGCCCCCTGTCATGCACAGAGCAGGGCGGATCGGGAGGTGGGGATGCCACCCTCAGGTCACACACAGAGCAGGGCCGATCAGGGGGTTGGGGCGCTGCCCCCTGTCACTCACAGAGCAGGGCCAATCAGGGGATTGGGGCACTGCCCCCTGTCATTCACAGAGCAGGGCCCATCAGGGGGTTGGGGCGCTGCCCCCTGTCACTCACAGAGCAGGGCCCATCAGGGGGGTTGGGGCTCCGTACCCTGTCATACACAGAGCAGGGTCAATCAGGGGGTTGGGGCGCTGCCCCCTGTCACTCACAGAGCAGGGCCAATCAGGGGATTGGGGCGCTGCCCCCTGTCATGCACAGAGTAGGGCCGATAGGGGAGTTGGGGCACCGCCCCCTGTCACACACAGAGCAGGGCAGATCAGGGGGTTGGGGCGCTGCACCCTGTCACACTCAGGGCAGGGCCGATGGAGAGGTTATGGCTCTACCCTGTCACACACAGAGCAGGGTCCGTGGGGGGGGGGAGGTTGGGGTGCCGCACCCTGTCACACACAGAGCAGGGCCGATCAGGGGGTTG